TTCTAGTAGAAACATTAACGAGCAAAAGTGAAACAGGTGAAATTCATTTAAAATATATTTAATTTAACGCAATAAACTCCAGCTATCATGTTAATATGTAACCAATATTTTTTAAATGAATGAGAATGTTTACATTCTTTTTTAATACTGAATCTTCAAAGTCCAGGGAGTATTTTAATCTTTTGGCGTATCTCGATTTGGATGCTAAATTTTTATCAGAAACATTTGATCTATGTTTAGATTTCATAAAGTTTATGTTTGAAAATCTAGATCTATGTGCTAAGTTGTTCCAAACATGCTTAAAAGCTTTCTAGTAACTGATTTGAATATCAGGTTTTAAATTTAATTTAAGAGCAAGAACTGCCTACATAGAAATACATTTACATTTTTAAAAGGATATTGGGAAACATTTTAAAATACAGTAACACTGGTCAGGTGCCCCACCCTTCATTGCATTAGAGGCTACTGAGATTCCTGGCTAGTGTTGTTTAGGAAAAGCAAAGTGGTTTTGCAACAATGCAGCAACAAAAGGAAGTGATGTTTCTGTAGCTGGGAACATACATGTGATTGAAGGGTAATAACTCAAAGCTACAGGCTGATTTTGGGATTACAGGCAATACAGTTCTCATGACTTTAAACAGCTAGAAGTTCTCCTGGAGTTTGAACCATCTTGTCAATTACTTGATAAGGAAGAACTTGGATAGACCGTTGGTAAGGTCCCCTCTTTGCTTGAAAAAAGCTGTTTGGTGGGAACAGATCTATTGTTAGAAGAAAAGGGAAGACCTGAACCTGAGGGGAATTCTTCTTGACAGGAAGAAGGCATATTTATTTCACCAAGTGAAACACAATACTCAAATTGTATAATACAATATGATTGAAATACAGAACAATAATGCAGCGGTCCCCAACCTTTTTGGCTTCAGGGACTGGCTTCACGGAAGACAATTTTTCCACGGATGGTGGGGGCTGGGCATGAGGGAGGCAGAGCTCAGGCGGTGATGCGAGCAATGCAGAAGGGCTGTGAATACAGATGAAGCTTTGGTCCCTACCCGCTGCTCACGTCCCACTGTGTACCTCTCCCTTTCCTGTGTTTCATGGAAGACAATTTTTCCTGGGCCTGGCGAGGTGCGGGGGGTGGCAGCGGAGCTTTGTGGTCCGGTCCCTAACAGGCCACAGACTGGTACCAGTCCGCTGCCCGGAGGTTGGGTACCGCAGCAATAATGCAGTAAGGCCAGGTAAAGAGAAAGTAATCTAAAATTATCTCAAGGCTGCCTTTTCATCCAAAAGATTATCCACACATTTTTTAATGTAAATAAGTTACACATTTTGCCCTGGTTATACAACATGTACAGTAGGTTCACTAAAAAAATGGGGAGCGTTTAAGGGGTAAAATTACTTCATTCTATTATCTGAAGGTTCCTACTCTCAATATTTGTTTCCTGCCTATAAATGTACCTGTGTGTACACACGCTATGTGGATGCATATGGAAGAAACTGTATTCTGCACATTCCTATCATCAAATGTTCTTTGATAACAAGACTGCTGATGGCTGCATGTCATGGCACAGACGGACTGTGCAGGAAGCATCATTTTCCTTTTGGCAGCAATTCGGTGGATTTCAATTTTTATTTTTATTTTTTATTTTCTTTATAGAGACAGGGGTCTCACTCTTGCTCAGGCTGGTTTCGAACTCCTGACCTCAAGCAATCCTCCCACCTTGGCCTCCCAGAGTGCTAGGATTACAGGTGTGAGCCACTGCTCCCGGTCCTGGACTTCAATTTTTGCTATTATAAATATTACAGTGATAATCTTTGCACATGAGTCTGTGTTCATTTTTAAAACTTATTTTCTCAGTCTTAATTCCTGAAGGCAGTATTATCGACTCTTAGGTATTTGAACTCCTGAGGCTCTTGCTATACACTGCCAAGCCAAGCTTTCCCATTTCGATTCACTGCTCCCCAACAAACATCAGGCAGCGGCTGCCAATCTGACCAGGGAAGAGTCACTTTGATTTGTTTTTCTTCGACCAGTCATCTTATTTTAATTTAATTTAATTTAATTTTATTTCAGCATATTACAGGGGTAAAAATGTTTAGGTTACATATATTGCCTTTGCCCCACCCAACTCAGAGCTTCAAACGTGTCCATCCCCCAGACGGTGCGTACCGCACCCATTAGGTGTGAATATACCCATCCCCCTTCCCACCTGCCCGACACCCGATGAATGTTACTACTAAATGTGCACATACATGTTGATCCACTCTACTAAGTGAAGTATCGTAAGAATGGAAAAACAAGCACTGATCTTATTTTATAAGCTCAAGAGCCATTTCCATTCCTCCCTTTCTGAGTTGTGTTTGTGTCTTTTTCCATTTGGTGAGTTTTATAAGAAATTTCAATTTATCAAAATAGTTAAGAACAGTAAAGATATGTTTAAAGGAAAATCAAAGCTTACTCAAATTTTAATTTAAAGGAGGCAGGAGATTCTGGGGTCATTAAATGTCATTGAGAAAGAGCTTCAGAAATACTTACGCCAATGCACTTGACCACTTTAGCCATGATGTTACCCTGTGGCTGGAACTTCTTGTACATTCCACTGCCAATGACAAATACAACTAGACAGAGCAAAAGAAGATGTGTTAATAAGGTGTTTGCCAGAGCTACTTGTGGCCTAGAGAGAAGTTATTTGAGTTATAACCTTGTTTTGGAAATAACTGGATTACTTATGCAATGGGCTTGCCTACCTATCTCACAGTTTAGAAAGTGCTTTGGATTCTAACAATCACAAAAGCCTCTCAGTAATGTTACATTTTTGTTCTAATACACAAACCTTTAAGCCTAACACTATCTACTTCCCAGAACTCGAGGCAGCTCCTGCACGCTCAGTGCAGCTATTTAAGCACAAGTTCTATCTCCATGTAAAGGGACACAATAGGAGTAAGTGCTTTCACATAACAGATTAATGTATTGTTCTACACAAACAGTAAACGTACGTGTAAATTTGTGACTGCAATGGCAAGAGGAATTTTCTTCTCCTTGTTAATCTTCAGGAAAAAAAGAATTAAGCTGTTGAATCTTTTATTCAATCATATGTAGCAGAAATTTTTTCTGTGGTCACTGGGCCGAAGCACAGTTACAATTAATCGCATTTGCAGCTACAGTTTTACAAAAGTTAGAAGCACTTTTTCAATGAGGCCATTCTTCCAGGGACCGTCTTTGGCATATTATGAAAATAACTTAGAAAAAAGCATTTCTGCAAGAGATTCTGAAAACAGTCCCTATACTAGGATTTCTGATTATCCAATACCACAATTCAATAATTTAAATCCCCTGACGCCTGTGTTTTCCTCAATTAAGAGGGCCTGAGGTTTTTGAGAGATATCAATCTCCAGCATATCTCCAAGTACATGCTGTCCTATGCACGTCCTTTATAGCTGACAAAAGAGATGTCCATTTATATTCCTGCCCAATGCTAACCTTTCTGAACACACATGGATGGTAAAGATGTCCAACAGATTGGGTCTAATTTTCTTTTGTCAACTAATACTTTAAGCTTCTGATTAACTGGAGCTACTTCGAGGAAAGAAATTTCTATAGGTGGTGTTGATACATAGGATTTGGCCTGTTCTCAATTCCTCCATAAGAAAAAGCATAATCTTTGATATACGAATGACTTGTACAGACTAAATGAGAATTTACATAAAGTGCTTAACACAGTGTCTGGCATAAAGCAAGACTTTTTGGAATGCTCTCTGTCTCCCATCCAGCATTAGGGAGGAGAAGGTATAAATGAGCCTTCTGGGGGTGTATGGCAGTATCTGAAGAATTATGGGAGAAAAAAGATATATTAAAAAGTAGAAAATACTGAGCTCTTGCATAAATGTAAGGAGAAAGCTAAAATTGCTACGATATAAGCAAAAGAGGTTAAAAATGGGCCTATTCAATACTATTAAGATTTGAAAACAAAAATTGGAGAGAGAGATGTCATCGCCAGGTGAGCAAAGCTGACAGCGACCTCTTCTGAGTGGGAGAAGAGGCTCTGAAGACGTGGGGTGGCCACTGGGCTGTCTTCTTCTTGCACCTTTCTCGATTGTCTTTCAAGTTAGACCATCCCATGGAGAAAACTCTTCACATCTCATAAAAAGCCAATGCTAAGAACCAATGTACAAATTAATGTATCTAATATATACATATATTCTTGCTGTAGGGAAGGAATTCTAGTAGAAACATTTGGAGATTATAGATTATGGAAATTTATATGTTCATTGGAAATATTTCAATGGCAGTGGAATCAGGTTGCCATTTCAAGCAAGTTGTAGATAAACCCATGTTGACAAAAATAAAAGCTTTCAGCCTTGTGTTCAGCTAGTCTAGCAGATTCTATCACCTTCATCTTAATCTGCCTAGATAGTATCACCTTCAAATGTCCAACTCAGTTGATTCCATTTCTTGTAAATCTTTTTTTTTTTTGGTCCTATTCCCTACTTTCTTCGAATACTCAGAAGATGTTACCATCTGATCGCAATTCTTCACACTACCTTTTGTTGCAACTTGTTACATGGACTTTTAAAAATTAGTCACAATAATTACTGCAGGGCCTGACCTGATGCTAGGCTTTTATTCATTCTACTGATTTCTACTTACTCAGGGATACAGCCATCAGGACAGCAGGAACCCCAAATGCCAGTGGGTAACAAGCTTGTTGACTGTGAATCCCACATTGTTGAACTGGGGAGACATTATAAGAGTAAAATTCATTATGGCATTGGCAATGCGCGCACAGTTCCCATTTTTAAAAATCACTCGCTGGTTATTACGTATTGCTTTTACTTATGCATTGGCCTTGCTGAGGTCATGGCCAGCTGAGCAAAGCAGGATTTTAGCAGAAAGCAGGAGATGGAGACAGGTTCTAATCTTAGCCCCTAAATAGACGTGTGATCCTGGATGGGCCCAAATCAATGGCCCCTGGTGGTTCTGTGGATTTTCTTAGCATGGGGGATAAATATGACCTGGATACAATAATTTGATTATATGGGACTCAGTAAATAAAATCAAAAGTGCCTTGAAAGTGTGATTGATAGTTCCTGATACTTACTGTCTCGTTCTCTTTCTCTGGGAAGTCCATTTGGAAATACTTGAGATAATTAGGAGAGCAAAGAATCAGACTTTGCCCACCAAACTCTACCGAACTCACGGACACATTGCTGTGGGCAAAGCTTGAAGGCTAAAACAGCAACTACAGCTCACACGCGGGTTGCTTCCGAATAGCCGCTCGTGACTCTAATCTCGTACCATGAATAGGACTTTGCGTTAATAATAATTTAGAAAGCTGCGTGCTAATGCTAAGGATGTTTTAGACTCTTCCGTGGTCATTGGGGTAAGGGATTCAAATGAGATTAGAAAAGGAGGTAAAACTTGAAAGAAAAGAAGCTCATGTTCTGTATGTCAGGGCACATCCCAGCATGTAGCTGACAGCCGACGTAGAGGGCGAGAAGTGAAGGAGAAAACGAAGAAAGGGAACAAGGACTTAGCCTTTCTACCTGCCTTCCTTCCTCACAATTAAAAAAAGGAAAGCAGAAGTCCCTTTCAGAGATGTCTTACCTCTGAGCATGGGCGTGATGATGGTAGAAATCAGACTTCCAGCATTAATGGCCAAATAAAAGATGGAAAAAAATCTGCTTCTTTGTTTTTCCTGTCGTGGAAAGGACAGAGGTACAGTAAGATGACTTTGGCTACACATCGACTGAGCAGGTGGCCAAGGATCGGACTTCACTTCCCACGTCACTTTGGTCACTGTCTTGCTCTCTGCTGCGCTTGGAAGGAATCGAAAGGGGGACAGACTTTGTGCCAGTGGCATGTGACTCCCAGAGGTTTGCAATTCATTCCCGTGGTCTCTGGGAGCCACCGGCTCTTACCTGGCCCTCTTCAAACTGATCTCCACCAAATGCAGACACACAGGGCTTAATTCCTCCCGTGCCCAGAGCGATCAGGGCCAGGCCGATCACAGACAGCGCCCTGGGAAAGAAAGGCGGTTAGGGCCAGGACGGCAGATCCCCACAGCACAAGCCTTCTTTGTCTCCTGACGTCCCTCAGAGGATCAGGCGCAGCGACAGAGAGAGGAGACCCAACCTTCAGGAGAAGCTAATTCACATGCTCTCTGATAGTTGAATGAAAACTTGAACTCATGTGCCTTCAAGTCCCTACCCTTGTCTAATAATTCACCATCTTAGAAAGTGTAAAGCAATAGCTTGAAATCTGAACAAAGACTTAGCTATGGAGTATTTTCTAGCTCTGTTATTTCTAGTATGAAAATGGGTAAATGAAATGTTAATTGAATAAATGCAAGCATTGTGTCTGGTGCAGTCATAATAGACTCATAATAGTCATTAAATGACATTGGACACCATGATTTCATTGCAAAGCAGAATATCAGGTTAGGTAACATGATCTTAATTTGTTTACAAAGTACCAAAGACTGGAAAGAAATATGGTAAAAGATTTATTGCTATGGCTAGGTCGTGGATTAAGGGTTATTTATTTTAATTTACTTTTCTATTTTCCAGGATATCATTAAGTATTTTACCTCCTGAATTGAAAAACTGACATTCATAGCATTTATCAGCCCTCATTTTGTGGTTTTATTAAATTTACAGTGAGGTACTACAAAT